AGGCCCGAAACGTCAGCCTTCCTGCTCCTCTGATGCTGCTTGGCCTGCTGTGTTCATCCAGCTCTACACCTTGTTATCTCAGATTCTCCAGCATCTGCAGTTCCTACTATCACGGAATATTGACTGCCTTCTCATGTTGTGCGCAACTGGACTGTCCTGCCTTATTTTTGGAATATTTCCCTGCCTTCTCCACCTGCTAAATTTCTTGTTTCAATCAAGCTGAAACAATCAGATTCAAGGAACTTCTTAGCTCTGTACCATCTCAAGAAATCTGCATCAGCATGGTGAAACAAGTATTTGAACTACAGAAAACCTACTAACAAATGCTTCAGATTTGCGTTCCTATCGGAAAGAAACAAATTGGTATATCTCAGACGACATGAATTTAAGCTCGGAGCTGATTTTAAAACTGTAGATTTTATTTAGCATTTCATGTGTGAATCCATAACAATGTAGATTTTGAATACAAAATATTCCAGATTTTAGTTTGAACGTAAATGCAGTTTTTGTGACCCCACCTGGAAGATGCTTTATTCATAATAGCACACTTATCAACATCATGACCTCTTCTTCTTACAAAAAAAATTGCTTTCTCACCATGTGCAAACATAAAACTCTAAAACTTTAAAAATAACCAAACTCAGAATTATCGAAACTACATCAATAAACACCCATCTACGAAACATTTCAAAGAAACAGCAAATTGATTTAAGTGCATTACTTAGAACTCATAATGCCATTTTAGACAGTGCAAATATTTATACATCTTAGTTATATAACAGCCAAGTAAAAACATAGCCACAGTTTAGTTCTGGACCTTACTTAGATAAAAAATGTATTACTTTATTTTGTTGATGGGGATTTTTTTCTCCTCCAGCTGTTTCACCATGGCTTTCTCTTCAGATGGAAGTAATACTAACAATGCTTCACCACCTTCCTTGTACCTGTAAAATTAAGTAAACGCTGTGTTTAAATAACAATCTATACTTAGATTCACATCAACTGAACATCAGAAATTAAAGGAACAATGGTTTTAAAAAAGTTTACTGCAGCCTCTCCCATCCACAAGTAAAAACAGGTGTCTATTTACAATGTAACTCATTTTGCTCAAGATACAAAGGACTTAACAAAAATGTCATATCTATTATTACCTGCTCTTCAATTTAGTCAGTATTTCATTAAATAATTAAAACCAAAAGGAAAAGGACACAGCTCAATGCATTAATTATTTTTGAAATCAGTCTTGACTACAAAAGTGCAACTATTTCCAATGGATTGAAATAACTCTGCTCTTGCCAAGTATCATAGAATAATGGGTATTTGGGCATTCCACAGTTGCAAACTAATAGAGACGTTCCAATGGATTAGTCATTTCGTAGTTTTAGAGATTATATTGCAGTTTAATATATTTCCATTATTCTTCATTCTGCTTCAAAGCTTTAAAATTGTTTGAATGACCTAATTTTAGGATCATTAGTTCCCATAAAAGGTAAACATTATTTATTATACAAAGCCGCTATTAGAGGTCTATTGAAGGATAATAAGCAAATGCCATACATATCTCAGATTACAAAGAGTAAAAGCGCAGGCTCTCACTTTTGTCAAATGATCATAAACACCAACACTTTCAGGTACACAAACAGAATCACAAAAATCAAAGATTGTTCGAAGTCGTACATATATTTTCACAGGACAAAATTGTGATTGACAAACTATGCAAAAACAAACCATATCTATGATCACAGCAATATCGATCATTGAAAAGAAAAATTAAACTCAAGTTTATCTGTGGAAAGCAGTTTAAAGAATGGTCTTCATTTGCAAATATAAAGCATTGAAGTAATGAACTCCATCTATTGCTGTGATCATAGATATGGTTTGTTTTTGCATAGTTTGTCAATCACAATTTTGCCCTGTAAGCATGGAAGTAATGAACTCCATCTGTTAATCTAGACAAAAACTGAGAAAATTTCTTCGAAGGTTGGCAAAAGAATTCAAGTGAAGCTTTACTGCTAGAGGTTCTAAATAGCTGAGAATTACGTTAATCATTTCTTAGCATCTTTTCAAAATAACTCACAAATTTAAAATCTTTAATTAGAACATTCTTTTTCCAAACTAAGTTACAATTGAGGAAAGTATCCACATATTTTAATAAAATACAATGAAAATACTGCACTCAAGATCAATCTCCTGCAATATATTCATAATGACACTAAACCTGGTGCAAGATGTATGATTGATCCAAACTGAGTCCAAACTGGAACAGTAAAATCCCTGACTTTTGACAAAGGCTGTACTTGGCATCAATTAATTACTCTGCTGCAAAGAAAAACACAAACGATGCTGGCAGGCAGGTTAACTCGAGCTTTGGAAGAGGACTTAAACTCATGAAACAGGGGGCTAGAAACCAAGGTGTTGAATAAAATAGCATAAATCAGATGCACTGAGAACTCAGACAGCGATTCTTAGAAATAGCATATAATTGGGTGGAAACAGAAAATAAAATATCTTTCAAGTTAGGTTTGAAATGTATTTGTGAAAATGATGAGCTACAAGGATAAATACTCACACAGAAACATGAAATGATGAAAATGTCACAGGGGAACTCTCTCAGGAATAGTGCCCATAGCATCAAAATATCTAGTTAAGCTATAAAGGACACAGACCAATCCAGAAAGAAAATACTTAACAGCAAACTAAGGAAGGAGCTGCTATAGGTATATTGGAGTCAAAGATTGCCAGACAACAAAATTAACAATTTGGTAAAAGGCAAAGACACAGGAACATACTTAAAAAGTTGAGAACAAGCTGTGGTACACACGAATACATGGCAGATTAAATTCAGTGCAAAAAAAAAAGCATAAGGTAATATGCTTAGTGCATATTTAGTGAAACAGTTTTACGCAACTTACATATGCAAATCACATCCTAGATATTCTTATTCCACATTATTTTTTTGTGAATTCTATCTTTTAAAATGTTTGAAGAGTCTGCAGTATGAAAACTGGCACTATATGCTATAACCATCAAAACCAAGGTATTCTCAAAAATAGATAAAATAAAACTCTGTATCACTTAAAAAATAAAAACCAACTGAAATGAGAATGCACATCAAAAGACCAATTTCCTTTTAAAAGATTTGTATACAAGTTCTAAAAACAATGTTCATCCGTCCTAATAAATTGGCATTTCTACATCAGAAGAAACATAATTAGAAAATAAAAGTAAAACACTTACATTTTTAGAAAAGGGATTTCATACATTGAAATTTACTAAACATTAACAGCATTTTAGTACAGTTCCCCTAAACCTTCCCACAGGACCCTGCACAACTGATAAATTACAGATACTTTGACTGAACCAACTAAGGAGAAAATCTTTTCACTGTTTGTGGAACAGCTAAATCTGAAATAAATGATTTCAAGCAAATCTCAGGTCAGAAAGTGCAAAAAGTTAGGAATACCATAATTTCTAATGTATCAAAATGTTTCCCTTCATATCTTTGCTGGGTTTAATTCACGATTACTTAAAATACACATCACCAGAGTAACTGAATAGAAATTGAACAGTTGAGATTTTACAATAAATGCATGGCATAACAGAATCAACCAGCCAGGTATAGAATTTAGTGTCAGCATTTAGATGCATGGCACAATGATGGATTATATAAATACAGAAACAAACCTCAACTGTCAACGTGCAATTCAATTATTTAGAGATATCTAATTCAGTGCGGACGAACGCAGATCTTTCTATGCTGAGACGCTATCATTTTAGGCTGCGTTCACAAAACTTCAGGTATGTAGTAACTGTCATTTTTGTACATCAGCCTTGAATACTTCCTCATTCCCTTTAGCTTTCCTGTAAAATTAACAAGCTAGAAAACAATCACAAACGCAATGCTCTCTCAACATTCAATCTACATAATTTCATTGTCGAGCATTTCTTATTTGCTATACAAATTCACACCCATATTCATACACAAGTTCTTACCCACGACATATGCTAATGCACCTTGTCTGCAGATCAAACATATGACAAAGGATTGCTGAGATCAGTTTTAAGGACACAGCATCTGTGTTGTAACCAAGACAAGCACTGCACCACTTCCATTCACTACATATTGTGAAATAAAAACAAACTGAAGCAAAATTATATCAAATTGAACATTTGATACAAGATTATCAGGAAGCAATGCAAAAGGCTATTGTGCTTCCCTATTTCCACCAACTAGCTCTATAGTGGATATAACATCTTTTTTACAAAATGTTTTCACTGCTGTTGAACCCAAAATTTGGGACATTTACCTAAATCCATCTTAGCACTGACCAATGACGACATCCATATATATAGTCCTTTCAATACAGTAAAATATTGGCAAGGCACTTCGCAGTCTGGTGGTCAAACAAAATTTACAACAAGCCACATGCAATATTAGAAAATGTGACTGAAAGCTTGTCAAAGAGATAGGTTTAAAATTAATGGTGGAGAGATTAAGATTAGAGTGCACAAGAAGCCAGGAAGGAGTAGTCAGAAATCTCAGACATTGGTAGGAGTGGAGGTGGTTACAGATTGTTTTGGGGGACAGGGGAAATTACAGCAGAAGGATGCAAATTTTAAAATTGAGTGGTTATCTAATGTGAAATGTTACTAGATCATCTATAATCAAAAGAAAATAAACATAGTTTGTACAGAAATTGTAGAAAAACATCCATCTAGTTCACTAATGCCCTTCAGGGAAGGAAATCTTTTATCCTTACTCAGTCTGGCCTACATGATGCTCCGTCATAAGGTCAGAAGTGGGAATGCTTGCTGTTGACTGTGCAACATTCATGTCCAAATGCAGGAGGGTTGGAACAATATTCAGACTTGGGCTGACGAATAGCAAGTAACAAGTACCAAGCAATGACCATGTCCATTGAACAAGAAACAATTTAATCATCAACTCTTGACATTCAATGGCATTACCATAACTGAATCCCTTGCAATCAACATCTTGGCAATTACTATTGATCAGAAGCAGAACTAGATTAGCCATATAAGTATTGTGACCAGAAGAGCAAGTCATAGACTTGGAATCCTGCAGCGAGTTACTCATCTCCTGACTCCCCAAAGACACTCCATCATCTACAAGACACAAATCAGGAATATGATAGAATACACCCCACTTGCCTGGGTGAGTGCAGCTCCAATAACACTCAAGAAGCTTAACCCTATCTAGGAGAAAACAGCCGACTTGACTGGCACCATATCCACAAACATCATACCCTCCACCACTTACATACCGCAGCAGCAGAGTGTAGCAACAAAAGATGCACTGTAGCAATTCACCAAGGCACCAGAGACAGCACCTTCCAAATCCACGACCACTAACACCTAAAAGGACAAGAACAGCAGATACGTGGGAACACCACCACCTACAAGTTCCTGCCAAGCCACTCATCAGCCTGTGTTGGAAATATTTTGCTGTTCCTTCAATGTCACTGGGTCAAAATCCAGGAACTCCCTCCCTGTCTGTACTGACACTAAATGGATTGTAGTGATTCAAGAAAGCAGCTCACCACCTCCTTCTCAAGGGCAACTGGGGATGGGCAATAAATGCTAGCCCATCCAGCAAAGCCCACATTCCTTGAATGGAAAAAATACCTACAATGTGGTGACTGCCCACTGAGAAGATCGAGGAAGCTATTCAGTTCAAGGGCGACTAGAAGTGAGTAACAAATGCTGGTCAGTTACTCTCACTTTCCATGAAAGAATAGTAAAAATAAAAAAAACATTATGTACATTTATTTTGAAAAACTTTTAATCACAGGATGTAGGCATCACTTGCTAGACCAGTATTTGTTACCCATCCCTAAACTGCTCAGAGTCAACCACATTGCTGTAGGTCTGGAGTCAAATGTAGGTCAGACCAGGTAAGGACAGGAGTTTCCTTCCCTAAAGGCCATTAGTGAACCAGATAGGTCTCTCGACAATCGACAATGGTTTCACGTTTATCATTAGACTTTTAATTCCAGGTTTTTACTAAATTCAATTTCCATCATCTGTTACAATGAGATATTTATCTGTGAAATTATAATTAGAGAAGTACACACCTTCACTTTAAAAGATTAGATCTATTTTGGGCTGTGTTCAACTTCCACATGAAAAATTTTAACTATTAGATACGTGGCCTTCTTGCACATTTTTCTGCACCATTCATTTCAGATGCATCCCCTTTTTCAGATATAAATTCTCATTTTTGCAATATTGTACCTAACTAATTATTTTATTGCATAATGTCAAAACCATGCTCTAATAAACAAAGACGTTCCTGCCAGAAGCAGCCACTGTATTGAAAATATTACCAAATACAACATCACATTTCTATACATTCAAAAAATACAGCTTGTAAGTACTGTGGCGATATGTCTTGTGATGTTGGTTTGTTAGAATTCCAGCTACTCTTGCTGTACAGAAACATCAAAGCCTTGTTATGCAACATTTAAAAATAAAACTTGTGCTTCTTTACCATGCAGAAGTACGCTATTTCATATACAGCAAGGCAAATCAGTAATTTCTTCCTTATTTTGCATTCATCATTTGATACACAGTAGACCAACAGAACTGATTGTACAATGATTGGAGGCACGGTTTTAAGGTAGGAGACACAGGGAAATGGGAGGAAGAACTTCTTGATGCAGTGATTGGTAACAACCTGAAAATCACTCAAATTATGCTGGTGATGACACAAATGGTCAGTGATTTCAAAAGGAAATTACATGTACACTTGAAAGAAATAAACCTGCGGGCTCAGGGGGCATGGAGTTGGGAAATGAGGCAAACCAGATGGCTTTATACAGAGTGGAATGACTTCTAAATAACAATGGCTCTATGGCTCTACAACTCCTATTATCATATTTTCCCAGTTTCTAATATAGGGTTCAAAACATTTGTGAATTCTTACATGCTGAATACCCAAAATCTATTAAAAATAGCAGGTCTTCAAACTACATACGCATACAGTAGAATTTGTAAATTAGCAGGGTGATCAAAATTCACGTTATTTTCTCTAATGTTTATTCTAAGCATAACATCTTCAATTGAAAATGAATCTAAAAATATATATTTAATGATTTAAACCAGCATCTCAAAAATCTATGAGCCACAATGGCAATAAATGACAGAACAGGCTGATAAGCCACATGGCTTACCCTTGTTAATTCTTAAGTACTTTATATTCTTAAACTAATAGTTTTGCTCTTAAGATATAAAATTATGATGCCACAACTAGATGGTGAATCACATGATAATTTTGTTTTTGTGGCTTGAAGTGATCATTTCATGATTCATCATGTAATTGCTTTCACTTTGAGACAATGGTATATGCAGCGTTGAAGTAATGTGGCTGTTTAATTCGAGCTTTACTTTCCTACTTGACATTATCTCAAATGATAGATTAAATTATAACCTTATTACTCTTACCCAAGCTCCATAATTCTCTAAGTATTTAACATCAAATTCAGATTTCTTTTCACAATAAATTTAATCTTCAAGCACTTTGATACAATTATGGAAATTTCCCTTAGGTCAGCAGATGAACTGGCAAATGATTAGCTGCGTTAAACCTGGTGGCTCTGGCAATATTTATTTAGTATTTTGACAAGGTTAAGAGCTGACGCATATAAAAGTAGCAGGCTGTTTAATAAATGCAAATGAGCTTTCCGCTCTTGCTTCTCAGTAACTGCTTTTTCGCTCCAATCAGCATTTTTAAATGCTCTCTTCTGACAGTTCATCATTCTCGCCTTTTTTTTTTGAAAAGGTACTTATGGCAGTTGGAAAGAGTTTCGAAAATAACAAGGATTACATGAATCACTCAACTTTCCTTGTTGTATGATCTTTGATTTCAATTGGCCCTTTGGATCACTTGATTAAATTGGTTTGCAGTAGCGCATTCTCTCATTTCTCTGTGTCACAGAATTTTAGGTTCACTTCCATGTTCTAAAACTTATAGGGACAAAACTAAATTGTATTTTTAAAAACATTTCAGAGTTTGGTGGAGATGGCAGTAGAGTCCTTTAATCTTTCAATTCATAAAGTACGGGTGGCAATGGGCAAACGTTACTCCAGCAGTTTCCAGAGAACAGAAATCAGTTGCAGACAAGTAAAATTACTTCTGCGTCAGCTGTTACTTTGAATGTTGTGCAGTTTAATTTGGTAACTATTTAAAATGAAAACAATTTTTAAAAGAACAGTCTGAATAAAAATGACCATTAAAAAGACAATTCAGCAGGGATCAAATGGCTGTGTTTGGAATTCCCTGTACCGTGTCCAATCTTTCAAAATGGATTTGGCTGCTGCATATTATAATTTTCAATTTTCTTCAGCAATTTGAGCTTAATGCTTACCTTGCGGCCTTTAGTGTACATTGTATCTACCTATAGAATCAAACACTTTACATATGTTTCAGAGTAAGTGTGCAACATTATATGTTAAGTGTGGAAGAAACAGATCAGCCTTTCCTTAATTACTCAAATCTGCATGGCAGGGAAAATGCAAGGGAGTGGCACCAGGTGACCTGTCATTGCAGCGCGCTGGCACAGAAACAATTGGCTGAATGGCCTACTCTGCAACCTCAGACTATAAAAGCTCCTCATTGGGTTATAGGATGGAAATTAATTGAACCAGGCTAAGCAGGTGTAATTTGACCCTCAAGAACAAAACTTAAAATTTAAAAACTTCAAATTTGAAATTATAAAATTGTAACCAAGTAACTAAATAAAATTTACCTGATCAAGAAATAAAAAAAGCTAAATTAGGTTTTGAAAGTAATGTTTAAATTAAATATTAAAACCCTAACATTCTAACTAATACATGTTAATTTTCAGCAGGATTAGTTTCATTGCTTCCTGGTTACGAATTATGCATTCTGTTAATTCACCAGTCTTGCACACACATTATTTTGGTTCCTTTTGCTATTTCCAGATACTAACACATAATGCTGGAAATATGAAAACCATTCAAATCTGCAATTTAAAAAAAAACTCATTACATCTAAAAGAAATTAATTTTCCTAGCTAGAAAAGAGGAAATGTAGGATCCTTTAAAAATAAATTGAACATTTTAATCCATAATTTTCCACTTAATATTCATTACATGCATTCAAGCAACCCTTATAATAAGAATTCGTAGGAGAATGATAAGACATTTTGATATGCATTGCTGCACATTATCACAATACCTGGCTGTCCTCCCTGCTCTATGAATGTAAGTATTAGCATCCTCAGGACAATCCAACTGAAGAACCCAATTCACAGCAGGGAAATCTGGAAAGAAAAACAGTCAACTCAAACGGCTTCATAAATAATCCACCCATACATATACTGTATGCCTTGATTTTTATTTCAGTTATGCAAAGTGATGCCACTATTGTAAAGCTTAAAACATTCTCAACATTCTTATCACAAGGATACAGTTCCAGAGATTTCAGTCAGCAGTGAAGGAACTGCATTTGCCATTCATTCAGCTGTCAACTATCCAGAGAACTTACACAGGCTTTTAAGCACAGACTTGCTGTCATCAGGCAGTGCACCCTCTGCAGGACACTTGTGAGCACGGCCAGAAACAATGAGGCTCCTCAAACACTTAGGCTGAGCATAGTACAGAGAAATGAAAGTCTAAAACACGAAGTCTACCTCAGAAATGAAAAAAGGGAAATAAAGATTGGGAAATAAAGATTGAGAAAAAAAGCTGAATCTGACAGAGGTAAAGAGACAATGAAACTAAAACAAAAAAATCTTTAGCTGGGAGATCTGCAAAGAATTAAATTCTGAACATGAAACAGTACACAGGTCAGGTATCCTTTAGGAGAACATCCGAAAACTTTAGATGACCTGGAAGCTGAAGGTCTTTTCGAAAGTGGACGCAAGCAGATCTGTATACACACTAATTTCAGGCCCAAACAGGCCTAAATAGACACTAAAAGTAAGCATTTTAACCTTGGAGGCCTGAACTCAGCAAGTCTACAGGTCTGCTCAGGTCCATTCAAACTTCACTCTTAGGCCTGCTTGGGCCAAGCATACTATTTTTCCAAAAGGCATGAATGGACCCGAACAGACCTAAGTGGTAAGTGAAGCAAAAAAAAATGGCACAAAGCATAATAAGTGCAGAGAAAATGAAATAAAAAGTTTATCAAAAACCTGATGAAATCAGAAAAAATAATGTGAATCCATTCTCAAACCTGACTAGGGTACAACAAGCTCAAGATTTAAATGAATATTTTGCTTTTGGTTGAGAGACCATTAGTAAAAAGGCCTTAGACAGCAAGCTAAGTGAATCCAAAAACAAAAAAAATCTTCGATCTGAAGAACAGTCGATCACAAGGTTTTTGGATAAAGAATTCCTGACCTGCACTTCTAAAATAGTCCACCTATCACCTTCATTACTACTCATTTCACCTATTTTTGCCTATTTATGGATCTCTCAGCCTTTGTATTATCCACAACCTTAGGTGCATCGCTGTTATCCTGTCCAAGTCGTTAACATAGATTATAAACAGTTGAAACCCCAGCAGTCATCGTCATTTAGGGAATCATGACCAGCAAAACTCCATCTCTGCAGCTGTTTCTTTTAGAACTCTATGATCAGATTTCTAGGGTCAAACCTGGTGGTTTGTCAGATATAGACCATTAAGTTTCTCAAGTACTTTTACTCTGCTGTGGTCTTTTCTAGTTCTGTATTTGCCTATGTTGTCAAACAAATTAAACCAACTCTCAATCAGGGGGCTCTAAGTCTAGTGCATAACCAAAACATGTCAACAAAAGGAAATTCACTACAATCTAACCAACTAGGGTTATAATAGTCTAGGGTGAAAACATCAGTGTTTTACAGATAACAAACAGAAACAGAAACATGAAAGCTGTTGCATTTTGGTTATTATGGCAGGAACAGGAGAACTGGAAAGGAGGTGGTCGTTGGGGGGTTAAAGTAGAAGAAAAATTGAACACATACATGAGCAAGCACAAGGGAGAAAATAATTTGAGTGAACAGTATCAAAAATAGAAAATTAGGAATAATAAAAACTAGCCTTTCAAAAGCCCAACAGGTCAGAAAGAAACTTCAAACAAAAGATTTAAGTTGTCTGAAACAACACAGTGTGCAGCTGGAGGAACACAGCCGGCCCGGCAGCATCAGAGGAGCAGAAAAGTTGACATTTCGGGTCAGGGCCCTTCTTCAGAAATGGGGAGGGGGAAGGAAGCTGGGAAATAAATAGAGAGAGGAGGGGTGGGGCTGGGGAAAGGTAAGTGTGATGGTGACTGGTGGATGCAAGTAGGGAGTGGTGGGGATTGGTCAGTGGGATGGGTGCGGTGGATAGGTAGGAGACAAGATGGACAGGTTGAGTTGAAATAGGAGGACATCTGGGATATTCGAGAGTGCAATGCTCCCACGTTGGGAGCAGATGCGGTGGAGGCGAGACAAATATGTTTTTAAACATACCCAGTCCTCGAGCAGCAATGTCTGTTGCAAATAGTACAGCAGCCTTTTTTCTGCAAAAGTCATTGTAGACCTCAACTCGTTTCATCTGCTGTTGCTTGCCGTAAAGTGCAAGGATTGGAATACCAGGACGTAGACGGCAAAATGTGCGGAACAGATACTGGACCTAATATACAGAAAAAGAGTGGAGAGCTCAATAAATCTTCAAATCCCAAAGCACTACTGTTATAAAATGTTAATTCTGATTTGTAGTTTGCCAACTGAAACCTGCAAGATACGTTTTTTTTTAAATTTCACCTTCAGGATAGCAGGAATGCTCCCATCAAAACAATATTTAAAGAACTCAGACCAACAGTTAAACAAATATATCCTGCACTCCCAAACATGAATATATCCATGGACGCAATCTGTAGCATTTTTTAAACCATCCACTCAATGCAATAAAATGCACAGCCTTTAACAATTCCAACACATGAGCATCTGGTGCTCCGTTTCAATTGAAAAGTCAAACCATGCAAACATGCAGCTTCAAGCTTAACACTATTTAAAAAAGAAACAAACTATAATTGTTAGTCCATTGAAACTCAGAACAACTACAAAAATCTCTTTAAACAGAAAACCTCAAAAACATACAGCTCAAAACAACCCTGATTAAATGTCCATGGCAAAGGCAACTATATCTAGAAGACGTTTTATAACATGTTATATTTCTTTTAATTACACTGAATTTCAAAATATTTAAACCAGCATTTTGGAATTATATTCCTCAGTTACTTTCTGTTTCTGTGTAAATTAAATCCACTAGTTACAGATAAGAAGTGATTTTTGAAGCAGTCAGCTAGCTTTTTCCACTGTTCATGCAGAGGCCCAGAAAACCTACACCACAACTACTTAGAAGTGATCAAGTCACTGAGAATTTGTATTCCTCCTGTGGTCAACTTTCTTTCTGGCCAAGTCTGCCATCCAGTTCAGCTCAAGTGCAACAGCTCCGGAGAGGTTTCCATCCCTTCCAGAAAGAGCAAATGGGAGAATGGAGTCGCTGATATGCGCTCAGGGATCAGTCTACAAGCTGGAACTGCTCACAAAGAGGTTATCATACTGAAGTGATTCTCTCAGATACTTTTCAGCAGTATGGGAAATGGGAAAGTCAGACAATGTGTACACACAGGAATAATTTGGTATTCTGAGATCAGCACCCACCTCTTTACAGCTTGAAAAAAATACAATTGTCTTCTTATTCAGGTGATTCTTCACAAAGGAGTACAACATGTTGATTTTCTGGGGCAACTCACAGACTACATAATTCTGTTCAAGTGTTCCAGGAGTACTGCAAAGGAAAATACTTTATAATGTCCTTGTACAGGAAAAAAATAAGTATGAAGCAGGGACTCAATAGTTTATAGCTTTTTGTTACATATATGTAAAATAACTGACTGACAGAGAGCAAGAAGGCATCCTTTATTCCTTTTTACTGTACATGTCCTCTTTTGCCCAGTTTAAGATTCTCTGATAACAAAGGGAAGTACTTTTTGAAATTCATATATTTTAAGCCAAGACTGATACCATACCATGATGAGGGATTTCAGTTTCACATGTCAGAAACTTGAATAAATATTTGCAGAACAAATTACTGACACATAAGAAGGTCAGCAAATTCAAAAAGCAACTGATTAAAACATTCTTCCTTTTATATCAAGAGTCATCATAAAACTCCGAGGCATGGTTCATAATTCTGTTATGGAGGGGCATTACTACACTCCAAAGCAATGGCAGAAATAGATTACTGAGGGAAGAAGTCAGTCTACACCATTCGTTTATCATTTAAAAATCAACAACTGGAAAAATCATGGGGCTGTCATTAGACCATTGTTTAAAATATCAAAGCCTCATGCAGCACAGCCCCACCATGAATGAGCAATTAAATGTGGCACAGCCCAACTGAAAATCTTTGGGAGAAAAGTTGACAATTTCAACACGATCATGAACTTACTGCTTTGGGAAATATGCAGCAAGCATACAAGGTAAATAAACCCAAGTAAGGTTCACATTATTCACAATGCAAAGCAATCCTTTGAGCTACCAATAGCTCTTACAGAGAATGATCTCTTCAGCATTTACTCTTCAATAATCCCCAAAATAATCCCCAAAATAATTCACAAATGATTGCCAAAGGCTAAAACACATTTTTTGTTAGCAGCAAACATGGTATTCAAACAGTACTAATCAATCTACATTGAAATAGCCAGCTGAAGAACATGATTGATATGCAGATATTATACAACGACCAGACATATCCAGAGATCTGCGGTGTCACATTTATAGCATGCTTTTGTGATTTAGCAGTCGGTGAGCAGGTATACAATAATCAGGCTGTTTTGAATAAGAATTAACTAATTCCAGAATAATTAATGTACCTATAACAAGTTTTTACCTCTAGAAAGATAACAACAAAATTCAATATAATTGATATTGATGGTTTTCTGCAATTTACATTTCATAGATTTCAATACTGATTTTCGCCATTTCAGAAATGTATTTGACCTATTCCCGATGGTCCTGGCACAACTGGATTCAACACTACTCACTCAACAGCAAATAAAGAAATCAAATGCACAGTGACAGACAGCACCAAATCTACATAAAGAGACAGCAAGAATGATATGAAGGGAAAGGGAAAGAACAAGATCGAAATGATACAGAAGGGAAAAAGTCGAAGTGCAGAAGTAAAAACCCAAGAACCAGGATAGAGAGGGTACATAAGCGTAATGGACATTTTTTTTCTGTAAAATGACCTACAACTCCATTAAAGTTGGAACTACGTTGTATTTAAAAAAAAACAAACAACCAATACAACATTAAAACATATGCCTGGCATGCACCAGACAAAAGCAATCACCATTTACAGGTATCTCAAGGGAAATAAAGGTCTGAGGATCTGCTACAAGTTTACAGACTTATTATGAAGCAAAACATTAAGAACCTACCTGAATTTAGCATTTTCATGAACCCATACATACTCTGGGTCTTTCAGACTCAATCGTGCCAAGTCCTTAACAGATTTAGTTTGAGTTGCTGAGAAAAGCAAGGTCTGACGTTTCTTTGGGAGGTTTTCTACAATGGCATTCATTGTTTCAGAAAACCCCATGTCCAAAATTCTATCAGCTTCATCCAAGACTGCAACAAGAAAAAGAAAGCATGTCCCAATGAAGGCAAATGATTAAGTACACTACTCCAATCAGTGCACTTTCACAGCTGAAACATTACACATTGCTACATCAATCATTATGGATTCTATTGTACTTTAGTAATTGACAGACACAAGCAAACATATTCAAATACAGGCAGTTTCTTGTAATTTATACAATGGAACCCAGATACAATCGACCCCACTTATGAAGTTCAACTATCCCTTTAACAGTTATAGCGGCATTGACCCAGAAAATTAAAGGGAGTGCCTTTCTTCCAGACAATAATAAGGCCACAGTAAATTGGTTTATCAATGCATTACATATACACACAGTAATAACACTAGTGACTGAGGTTAGATTGGCCACGTACATTACAAATGTTAGCAAATATACTCTCCCTCATCACCCCCTCCCTTCAGTAGGCTGTGGTTCTGTGTGCATCACCTCTGGCCTCCCTACTGAAGTTATTCCAGAACCCCTTTCGGGGTACAAATTTTCGGTACAACTATCCCACTGCAATGTGCTTGTTATGCAGATATCTAATTTACTTTAATTCAGTGTTGGGTCACTCGATCTTTCAAGATAAAATCTCAAAAACGTCATACTATGAAATCAAAAAAACTCAATTTCTACACTTAACACAAGAACCAGCTTTCAATACTGTACAGAAATGTCAAATGGTATGAACTCTGAGCATATTCCATGTGACAATTCATGGAGACAGTCCTTCTTTGACCAATTTCCCTGGTCTAGCAAGATACTTCAGTCTAAAATAATTTGTCTTCAGCACCTTCAAACTCTTCAGCAGGTATCAAACATTCCAGGTACACAAACTCAAAACACCACTTCCATCTTCAAACCTTTTTCTTCACACCAATTATGAAATCTTCCTTTAACTTACTTTTCTTCACACTATAGGAATACTTGCTCCTCTGAAATCCTTTCACTAAGTCTTCCATTTTTTTTCCCAGTATAGAGGTCCTTCCTTAACTTTTTTTTTTAAATATTATTCATGGAAAGTGGTGTTATTAGCTTTTTTTTATTCATTCCCGGGATGTGGGCATCGCTGGCTGGGCCAGCATTTATTGCCCATCCCTAATTGCCCAGAGGACAGTTAAGAGTCAACCACATTGCTGTGGGTCTGGAGTCACATGTAGGCCAGACCAGGTAAAGATGGCAGATTTCCTTCCCTGAAGGATGTTAGTGAACCAGATGGGTTCTTCCTGACAAGCGGCAATGATTTCACGATCAGCATTAGATTCAAATTCCACCATCTGCCACAGCAGGGTTCGAACCCAGGTCCCCAGAACATTACTTGGGTCTCTGGATTAATAGTTAGCGATAATACCACTACGCCATCACCTACCCATAGGAACCCATCGAATTCTAAGCCAGCATTCATTGCCGATTCCTGACTGCCCAGGAGCAGTTAATAGTCAACGACATTGCTGTGGGTCTGAAGTCACATGTAGGCCAGACCAGATAAAGACAGCAGTTTCCTTCCCTAAAGGACATTAGTAAACCAGATGAGTTTTTCTCCAACAATTGGCAATAATTCTCTGGTCATCATTAGACTCTTAATTACAGATTTTCATTGAATTCAAATTCCACCAACTGCCACTGTGGGACTCCCATCCAGCTCCTCAGAATATTACCTAGGTCTCTGGATTAGTAGCCTGGTGGCAATACTAATCATGTCCCCTGCAAAGAACAGCAGCATCCTCCGCAGTCTGCAGTTTCTGGTCTACCGGTGAACAAGTCAGGAAACTTCATTCCAAATCATTCTAATAGTCTCATGTACACCTCCATGTTTTTGGGCATCATTGTTTACAGCCTAATTATGTTCAGATGCTGTTCAATGGCTTCAATTACCACATTATGAATCCTTAATATCAAACACAGTGGGAAATAGAGTGAAAGCTAACGAGATTGCCACAAGGCACGGCGTAGAGGAAAATAAGTCACCCAGTCAATTTTACATATTTTGAATACATAAGTCAAATAAAAGGCAATTCATAAATGCACAAAGAGAGGACCTTGAAAGCAACAGGACAATAAGAGAAAATTTTGACTTCAAGTAGAAGAAAACCTGAATATTTATAGCTGATCATTATTTACTAACACTATTGAAGTTTGATGTTAGAAGTTGTTAACTAGCCTCAAATGGTATCTGACTGATTCAGTTAGCCCATAGTGTTGCAGATGGTGGTCATTTGGTGATTGGATAACATTTGCTAAATAATTCCAACTGTTGCAAGAATTACACTGACAACCATTTAAATTTGACAGTTGGGTTTGCAGTGTGGCACACTTATTAGAAGCTATATATATCAATATGGAAAGCCCTATCCTTCACAAGCAGAAAGAACATGTACCTGCTTCAATGGAAACAAGTTTGGCTACTAATAGTTTATTCTTCAGGGCAGTACGCAGACCAGAGTCAAACAGCCTTGTTTAAATATAAATAAAGCTTGACAGTTAACTGTCAATCATCAAACTAATACATTCTTCTGCAATGTTGCATACTGCAATGCTCTGTCAATTCAGAGTCCTCTTGTCAACCAATCAGCACACTCTTCCTATAAGGCAAAAAAAAAGTTGTTCCCTTCTACATTACTATTCCTGCAAATTGTCCTGATGAGTGCAAGAAGAAGTTTCAACAAAGTGTTTATTTTGTTCAGCACAGTCAGGTTTTGTGCTACCAAACAAATACTAACATTAAGATCAGCATTTTTACACAACATCAATTACATTTCTGAATAGAAAGTACTGCCTCAAAATGTGTCCCTTAAAGCAAATACACATACCAAGCATTTGTAAATCAGAAGCATGGAAATACGTTGTTTCATCCATATGCTGCAGAAGACGACCCGGAGTGCAGATGACAATATTGGTACGATTGATCCTCTCTGACTCTGCTTTCAGATCCTATTGTTAATAAGAGTACGTATTCAATACCTCAAATAAAAAATTAGTATTTGGCAACAGAAACAGATGAAAGAATGGAAGACTAAAATGTGCCCTAATTGCTAACAAAGGCCCTTTCAAAAGTGACAGTAGGATTCTGCAAATTCACTAAATCCAATATCATACATGGTCTAAGCTACTATCAAAAAAATTTTTTAAAAATTCAAATTGGATGGGAAAAATTTATCGCACGTATACTTACCAATGTGAAAGACTGGTAACAAAGGAAAAATGTGGAACAACAGAAGAAATGCGTAGCTAAACACTGATGCTGAAGTACAAAGATATAGTAAATAGTGGTTCAGAAATTACTCAGAAACATGTCAACAAGGTGAGAAACAATGAGGGCAAAGGAAGATCCCAGTGGTTTGAATCTACTGGAACATTCCAGAATTAGGGAAATTTTAGAAGACTGCAACTGATGCATCCAATATCATTACAGCCACCTTTTCAAACACCCCAAGACTCAGGCCATCCCGTCCAAAGGATCCGTCAGCCATTAGCTCCATTCGCTTTCAGTGGACAATGGGAAACCCATGAATGTGTCAAGTGTTTGGATTTCCGAAAGGTACTCAATAATGTGCCATATAAAGATTGCTGCACAAGATTAAAGTTCAAGCTGTTAAGGTAATACATTAGCAAGGGCAAAGGACAGGCTAAGTGACAGGAAACAGTTGAGATAAATGCACAACCTCTCCATTATCACGGAAATACACATAGGAAGGATAGGTGTTTGAGAGGGGTCGTTGGAGTTAGTTTGATTTTAATATTTTTTGTTTTACGTTTTACGAATCATTTCTGCCATTGAAACATAACACGAAGCCTAGGCTGTAGCATCTTTCCATTATGTGACGTGATCTTTTATATCGCTACTGACTATAAGTTTTCATATTTGTCTATTAGCCCTTCAGTTTACGTGTCTCAAACCAGCTTAGTCGCTGTCTTTACACACCTGCCCAAAAATCTCTGCCTCAGAGATAAATGCAACAGCTGTTTCACAAATCTCTTCAATCTTCTTCACAGCTCCTTGGGAGCTGATCACAAGCCATTGTAGCTGCCCGCACTTCTTTCACAATCAATTAGAGTGTATTTCTGCTACATTTATGACAACGACATAGCAGACTGGTCTCAGTTTTCATTTCTCTGGATTTGGAGGAGTCCAATTGATGATGCATCTGCTGATATTACTGTTGGTAGTGCTCGCTTGTAATGAGCTGGAATTGCTGACAAGATAAGCACTTCCTTCACATCTTCAAAGGACCTTCAATGATGTTTGTTCCAACACCTTGTTTGATCCTGTCTGAGCAGTTGTTGCAGTGGTTCACTTCTCTGAACAAGATTTAATTAAAATTTGCCCATGTTGTTAACCACGTGTTTGAAAGACTACGGTTCCACAATATCTCAGGGTGATAGGAACTCTTTGATAGCTTGGTCTTTTGTAAGTCTGCTACAATGTCTGTTGCATGACCAACATGTGCTAATATGGCTGAGAATTCACATTTTTCATTCAAAGTTAGTCCTACTGCCTAAAAGGTTTTCAGTACATTTCTTAAACTTTTGTCATGCTGTTCGGTTTTGTTTGAGACATGAATTAGAATAGCAGATAACCTTCCTTAATCCCTCGAAGATGTTTGTCATTGGTCTTTGTAAGCTTAGGTGTAGAAGGTAAACTATTAAACTGACATCTTCCAAATACTGTTCTGGATATTATAAGCAGTAAGGTTTCTGGATGCCATGGAAGCTGCCAGAAACCACTGTTAGTCTCAGGTTTGCTGAAAATGGCATTGCTCGCTAGCTTTGTATCCAATTAATTCCATTGGGTAGATATCCCTCTCTACTGTTTTATTTTGGTGCACAATATTCACATAAATTCTTAGTGAATTTTGGAACTGATACCATGCCAGAAAACCAACTTGTTTGTTTGACCACTGGTGAAATCATTCCTTGCTAAAGCATCACCTTAATTTTCAAAAGTGGATACAGGACTTTTCCAGATGGCTTCCGTTTCCAGAGTTGGCTTAACCTCTCTAGGTCAATGGACAACTTTGGGAATTCAAATCCAAATCCATCGTGACTTTGAATCACATGTAAAGTCTTATTGACTGCTCACATTTGATACTGCAGTCTTGTAAACAACAGACCTTTTACATTTAATTAGATTCCTGCTAGTTCTGGGAATTGAATGATGGATGGCTAGATGCTTTTTTGATTCAGCCATTTTACTGCATCTAAGAAAACTGACAACCTGCTCCAGTGTCAAGTTTAAAATCTGTTTTGTGCCAATGCGTTTTTATGCCAGCTCTTCAACACCTCTATTTTCATTCTTTTCCGTATGTGGGAAATGTGCTATTTCATTGCTGTCTTACACTTCAGTCTTTTGAATATCACTCATTCTTATGGGATGTTCCATTTTGGGATCAAAATAGATTTATTACGACAAACTGTTTTAAAATGGACAGTTTGTAGGAAGGGCGCACCATATTTTTGGCAGGTCAATCTTCATTTTAATGCTCTTCAAAGCACAGCAAGAAAACAGCCTAATAGCGTTAGCATTGCACGGTTTCCTGGCCTCAGCTTTGGTGTGCTTTCACTTTTGTGCCCAAAGTAATGTACTCTCTCGAATGTCTTTTCTCCATAAAGCCTCTCCATTGCCTTGAATAAAAATAATTCTCTTTCCTTATTTCAGATTTTCTGCTAATTGCACTATTTTTCCTAAAGTCAAATCTTCCCTGAGCTGCAAGACATTTGATGGTGTTTCTTCCAAAAGTCTGACCATAGTCCAATCTCTGATGAAGGCATCTTTTAATGTCCCATATTCAGCTAGCAGTAAAAAATACAGGTCATTAATAAATGAATCTACCCTCTGTCTAGGCTTTTGATTCCAACAATTACATTTTGCTCCCTGTACACTCATATTTTGCTGTGGACTATAGTAAGTATTTAAACCTCTGATAACCTCCTCATAAGTGGCGATTTCATCTTTTACCAACTGCCTTGCAACAGCTTGAAAGATTCTGATAGTTGAGGCACTGTTCCATGGATTCCCCTCATTGGAGACCATTTTCCATACTGTTTAGTTTACAGTCATCATACTGAGATCTGCTTCTCAGTCACCAGCCTGCTCTTTTGATGATTTTTGCAGTGCTCTGTCCAAGTGCTAGATTGCCTTTGATTGTCATCCCACTGCACTGTCTTGTTGCTGGGTCCCTCACTCATTCTCATCATCTGTTATTTTGGTGATGAATCATTGGGTGCTCTGCTTTGCTTAAGAGAGGTTACTGAAGCTTATGGTCTCTTAAAGATTACTCTTTACCCAACATTCTATGAACTAATTCCACCCAAACTCAGCAGGCAGTCTACCAAGTAGCATCGCTTCAGAGACGCTCCATGATGTGATCTCTTACATCATTACATGCTCAGTAATAATTCGGCAACTACGTAGTGGGTCGCACAGAGTTGGGGTCTCAACTATTTACAATCTATGTTGATGACTCAGATTAAAAGACAAAGTTTGCTAACAATACAAAAATAGATTTAAAAGCAAGTGTGAGGAAGACACAAGGGACTGCAAATGGACATGGATAGGCTACGAGAGCGGGCAAAAATTTGGCAGACGGAAGATGAGGTGGGAAAATAACAGATCACCCACTTTGACAGGAAGAATAGAAAAGCAGAATATTATCAGCTTATGGCTTCAGTTATAGAAAGTTTTAAAAATTCGAACATCCTTCTCTGAAGAAAAATGAGGAGAGGTAGTATTCAAAACATTCAAAAATTTTAAAGTAACATATGAATGGAAACATACTTAGTCTAGCCCTAAAGCACACCATCTTTGTATTAAAACCCACCTCTTTCACCTACACCAGTATCTCTATTTGTTTGTCATGAAGTGCAGAAGGATGATACACAATGTTTAAAAATCCAACAGAAATTAAAGTTTCTACTGTTACTAATAGTTGAATTTATCACAAACTCTAGAATGAGGGACATGAGTTACAGGAAAGTGGCCATATTGTTCAGACTGAATTAATTCACAGGGGGAGTAACTACAATATTGAACCGAGAGGAGACTGAGTATATGAGAGACAGAAAGCAAACAACAGAAAATGTAAAGCTTTGTAAAATATTATTTTTGAAACTGTCAACAATTAATACCTGAAGAAATGGCAATAATTAATCTTTAGACGTGAAGAGGTTCATTAGCATATCATTAACATATTATTAAAGGGGTATTAGATGTGAAATGATAGGATTTAACTTTCTGTAGTAAGTTTAGTTTGGATCTAATAGGGAAACAGCAATTCCTCATCACTCAATGCATTTAGGTCAAGTATGGACAGTGAAGTACCATTTTCATAAAAAGGGACTCTGCAAAAAAAAAAGGCAAACACACCTGACATTGTTGTACTATTTACACATAAGTAACAGCAATGGTCATTATCCTCACCCACTACTTTGACAGGAAAATCTGCATAATACATCCAACTAGACAAAGTATTTGTAAACATAAGATTCCTTTTGCTATTAACAAATGCTTTCGATGTTTCTAAATAGATTTGAAAAATCTACAGTCTGATAAAAAGAAATTGCAAATTCAGCATACAATCAGGCATCATCTAAACAAGGTAATATTTAACACTTATGGCAACAATTGTGGAAAACTTGAATATTATACAGTTCCCTGACAACATTGGTCATTATTTGACATGTCAAGAGCTGGCCATTTTTGAGGAAATAACCAAACTATGGCCCAACTAATGTTATTTTAATATTTTACCCTTTGCGTAGCATTATACTTTAATCTCCAAGCACAATAGTTCTAGAAGTACATGGTTATTGCCTACCTTTCCTCCTATTACTAGCCCAGCTGAAAATTCATGATTTTTCCCCACTTTGCGTAGAACCTCAAAGGTCTGATACGCGAGTTCTCTTGTAGGGGATATGACAAGAACACCCAATCCATCTTCCGATGTCCATTGTTGACGATAAAGACATTCCAATATCTGCAGAGTGGCAGAAATACTGTTATTAGCATATGATCAACAAAATCAGCTTGTCTAATGAGTTGTACAAACCTTCCAGATTTCTAATCTTTTTTGAGCAACTTTCCTTTGAATCAAATTATACAAATGGTAAACTCAAATGCCAGGCATCTGAATTGCCATATGTATAATTTCTTGGTATCCAGCAATAAAATTGGGAATAAAGTTATTAGAAAGTATTTGTTTTTGTAAAGTGATATACATAGTAACAATAACAGATTAAATAAGCAGATTCACATCACTTAAAACATAGTGCCCCATCAACCAGAAAAATGTAACATTTAAAATAGTGTAACTAAACAACAGATGCAATAACAGTCCAATAATCAAGAAATCCTGTTACAGGTCCACCCAATTACTGAATAAATATCATAATAGACTGGAATCCAATATACACCTCAGCAGGGGATGTGCAACCCATATTTGATTAGCAACTTGCATTACAGGTAGCGGGTATACAAATTCACAAGAACGTGATGCTGTGTCAGGCTGCACCAAATCATTTATCATTAAAAAAGAAAATTCATAGAATGGAAATAGGCGCAAAGCAGCTGTCCTTAACTCATATTTCTACAGATAGGGCTGGGTGGGGAAATAAAAATGCTTCATTTTTCACACAAACCAAGCACTCAAATTTTATAGTCAGTGGTAAAGCAACAACACTCATCTTTAAGAAAAGCCCCACACAAATCTAGCAATTTCTGTTGTGTGCTTTACCAACTTTATACTTTTCCTAGTGGCAGTTTAAATTTGATGGCAGGTTGAGGGAACCTTTCAATGTGTAGCAGCAGTGAAATGAGCAAGCATGAGCAAGTCAATCACTTGGAAATGTTCATACAGAAAACCAGGAAATTAAAAACTCTTAACAGATGTCATTCTTTTCTCGATTTTCAGGTAATGAAATACATTTAATTAGCACTCAAGCTAAAATAAAGATAAACAAGCATTAAAATAAACATTTTAAATGTGGATTTTTTTTCAAGTTTTGGAGAAGTTTGACATTACATCAATGTAACATTAGTTTCTCAGCCTCAGGTAACTACAAAGTTAGTATTACATTAAAAAAACTATTTAAATTTCATTCTACAAGATGTAACTTCAAGAGTATTTTTTAAAACAGGGAACTGGTGCAAGAGTGAAACTCTTATCAATTCAATTGGTCCTCCATTGATTGCATTCTGGGGGATCTGAACAGAACACACTCTGGAAAAGCACAGAATTACTGACAGCAACTTCTGGAATTTCCCTTTGTTCTGCACTTATGTAGATTCCAGAAATGATATCAATTTGAATGGAATAATGATGTGAATTCTGACAATTTCACTGCCCTTACTATCATTAACTCAGAGCCTAAGATAAAATCAATATTCTGTGACAACGCACACTGTCTTCAGGCGACATGGGGACGGAGGCCAGAGGGAAATTGGAAAGATATTCAAATGAAACATTCCATTCATGTTAAATGTAAACACTTGGTCATTTACATTTCTAAAAATTTATATTTCCATAACTATAGTGGAAACTACTTGTTTAAACCTGTTAAATTGCCATTACAACTGCTCATTAAAATGCACACAGACACAAAACTATTTAGAAACTCTATTACCAAACAAATTTGCATGTTATTTCATAAATATCATTCATATTTGCTTGGTCTGTCAAATCAGCTTTTCATTAATAGAAATCATGCTCCATTAATCCCAGTCACTTACAGGAATAATAAATGCCAACGTCTTCCCAGATCCAGTCTTTGCAGCACCAAGAATATCTTTGCCTTGTAAGGCTAGTCCAATTGTTTGCTTCTGTATTTCTGTGGGCATACGATATTGAGCCTGCAACAAACCTGTGAAGAGAATATGACCTTTACAAATTTCCAAAACAGATTAAGCTAAATCTACGGTTTAATTCAGGCACAGATAATATTGTCAGATGCTTTATTTCTCTCCATAATTCTACTCAATCAGGAGCACAGTACTGAACGGAACTAAAAGGCTAACGACATAAATCTTGCAATATGGAGAATCAAGCAACTTTTCGATATTTATATTTCCCCAGAGCTATATTCCACGCTAGATGAGGTGCATGCTGAAATGATCCTGCAGACTGTAAAATAGTTAATACTGTAATACATTCTTCACCCAAAAAACATGCTCTTTAGATTGTATGCACAAAATGCCACATGAAAGATACAAATACAGTACTAGTATGACTGCACTGCCTTGAAAAGCTGAGGAGGTGCTGCTTTTCAGAGTGCATAGTGGCTGTTCTGGCTTGGAGGGACAGTCACTATCTCAGCTTCAGTGTTAAATAGGATGGGAAGAGACCCTTCAGTCCAACTCAACCATGCAAACTAAGTTTCTCAAACTAAACTCGTCCCACTTGCCTACATTTGGACCATATCCTCTAAACTTTTTCTATTCATGTACCTGTCCAAACACCTTTTAAATACTGTAACTGTACCTGCATCTACCACTTCCTCTGGCAGTTCATTCACATACATACGACCCTCTGTGTGAAAATGTTGGCCCCTCAATTCCCTTTTAAATCTTTCTCCTCTCACTTTAAAAATATGCCCACTAACTTTGAACTCCCCCAACCCAGTGAAAAGACACCTGCCATTCGCATTATCTAAGCCCCTCACGATTTTATAAACCTCTATAAATTCACCCCTCAACCACCTACGCTCCAGTGAAAAACACCCCAGCCTCCCCTTAACACTCAAACCCTCCATTCCTGGCAACATCGTGATAATTTTTTTCCCAATTTATTTAGGAGAAGTGGGCATTTGCTGGCTAGGCCAGCATTTCTTTCTCATTCCAAATTGCCCTGAAGAAATGATGGTGAGCTGCCTTCTTGAACCACTGCAATCCTTAGGAGCACCCACAGTGCTGTTAGGAGGGGAGCCTGTAATCCAGCATAGCTGATCATTAGCCTCAGCTCCATTTTGCTACTCAATTCCCACATCCCTTGATTCTAAGGCACAAAAATGCCTATCTATTCTGCCTTAAATGCAATCAATGATGCAGCACCCACAAGCTTTGGGGTAGAGATTCCAAAAAAACCATAGCCCTTTAAAACAAGTGAATAAAACTTTTCCCAAGTTAGTCTAAAATGATCCGGCCCTAGCCCTAAGACCATGTCTGGATCCTCCTGGCAGGAAAGCAGCTTCTTAATGTCTAATCTATTCAAGACTCTTCAGAACCTTGAATGTTTCAATGAGTTTCCGTCTCATTTTTCCAAACTCCAGCAACACAGATAAAATTTATTCAGGCCCTCCTCACGGGACAATCTTACACAATTGATCCCATGCAGCATCAAGGTGCCGTCGCGAATGCAAAAACATCCTTCCGAAAACATGGAAACCAAAATTTCATTCTGTATTTCAGAGCAAGTCTCATCAAAGCCCTGCATAATTGTAGCAAGACTTCCTTATTCTCGCACCCAACCCTGTAGCAATGAAGTCCAACATGCCATTTTCCTTCCCAATTGCTTGTTGGGATGTCCTGTTTGTGATGTTAACTGAAGGGTAATTATTGGCCAGTACACCTGGACAATACCCCTGAATTTCTTCAAAATATTTGCCAGGGGAACTGTTACGGCCACACTTAAAACAAGGCACATTTTTCGTAAAGTCTTGTACAAAAAAACAGATAGATATCAAGGAAGAAAAATGGACTGATCTGATGAAGAAAGCATTGTGAAAGGTAGAAAAAACATTTACCTTTAATGGTTTTTTTGGATAATGGAAGATCTGAAAATTTGACCACCTCCTTGGCATTTATCTGAAAGTCAAAAAACAGATTTTTACACAAATGATTCACACTGCTTCAACACTCTTGCTGCTAGTTATAACCACCTAAATTCCTTACAAGATTTATTAGCAACTATCTTATATTTATGGGCTTTTGCTTTGAATAGACCTAGAAGTGGAAACATTCTCTTCCCTCATCAAATCCTTTCAAATAAAGTGAATCTGGATTTTCTACACTCTTGGCACGCAAAAAATCAGAATGCAGAAGAGAGAAAGTCATGTGCCAAGGTATTTTTAAATAGTCACACTCTGTTTTTGTAAAACAGAGACTTAAGAAAAGATATAAATGATGTCAAATAAGCTAAGGAATAGAAAGGAGGTTTGTATGCCAAGCATAGTCAAAACTTAGAAACGTATCAAGGATTCTACCTCATCTTGTCACCTTCCAGATATAAATGATTGCCATCAAGCATTGCAACAACAGGTCGAAGAAGAATATGGTCTAATTTCCAAGCCCAATTGGGAGAACGGAAATGTCAAAATTCTTGTCACAAGGTTAATAAAAAAAGTTGCTCAAATGCCAACATTTATTGGCCTGTGGTGGTTTTCGATGCAAACAAACCATCGTTCATTCAATTCTTCAGCTTTGCTGTTTATTTAGAAGGTTTCTTTTCCCTCAACATATTTGCTTAAAGTGAGTGCTGACAAGTATGTCAAAGTACTGACTTCCAAAGATCTAACCGTGCAACAAGATACACAAATTATATCTGCAGTACAAGCTAACCATCAGACAACGAATGGTTTCAATTCACATTTCAGTGATTTTTCTCCAAGCTAATGCACCTCTTCACATGTTCATATGTTTTAATGAGACGTAAATTTGAATTCTGTAGCACAGAAGGATCTCATTAAATGAAAAGCTCATATCACTTTATGGAGGTGGTTAACTCACTTCCCATACCTCTAAATGCCATACATTTTATAATGAGCATTGAGAGTCTACATATATAAAATAGAAATAGGCTTGCTGTCTGAAGTATGTTTAATAAATTTCTTCAGCCTAATAGACCTGATGAAGTTACAATCCAGTTACTAGAGTTAGAATAAGGATACAATCTACAACAAATTGTTGGGACAAACAATCTGGAAAAGGCAAACGCTTAAAAATTATTCAAAAATTTTAACATTGGGGAAACCTTTATAAATCAAACAAGACAATGTAGTCTATGCAATCCATTGTAAAGCCATAGGGCAAAATAGGGAATACTTAAAAGGACTAGACTCCCTGTACATGTGACTAATGGACACATCAGTGCCACTGAGAGAGGGAATGAGAACAAAGCCATTAACAAGCATTTCATTCAACATGGGTTTCACACCTTGCAATTTATGGGCCTTGAGACCAATATGAACTGGACTCCACAACAAAGGAAGAAAGACAATTTTCATTCAAATTTAAAACAAAAGTAACCATCTATAAAATAAAAATACCCAGCCTGATTCAGCCAATGAGGGGCCAAAAAGGGAATTTACCCATGGGGGTATGGGGCACTGCTGAGGTATTAATTATTAAATATTTTCCATCTGTATTTACAAAAAGGAGGGTGATGCTATCCAGGCTATGGTGGCAGAGAAGAAAACTCTGCCACCAGAAGGGCTCAAAATGAATAAGGAAGAAGTGCTGGACAGATTGTCAGTACTTGACAGGACCAAAACCCAATGAGTTGCATTAAGATGGCGTTTCTTTAGCCAGTAAAAATTTTATGAATAGAGTTCTCCATCAAGTTCCTCGAAGTCTGGGAAAAAGTGCAAACAGGAAATTCATAAAAGAACATCTTTTCCCATCATAAGGGCAGGTATACAATGCCAGCAAAACTGCAGAAATCTCCCATTACAGCATCGAAAACAAATCCACCTCCATGGAAGTCCATACCAGAAAGAAGGTCTGCAATCACCAAGAGCAGGATACGCTCAGAAGAATCTGGCACGTGGAATCAATGAAAACAAAGCCTAATCAAACCAGAACCCAACATCCAGAGACAGAGATTCTTTAAAATGTGTGCATGAACTAGGAATTATTTCAAATTAAATTCCCAACAATTGAACAAAATTTAGCAACTTATTAGACATTCATTTAACACTACTGCTGAGAAAAATGAAGAAAAAAATTCCTCCTTATTTATTCTACATGTACAAATATTTAATTCATGAATCACTTAATGCATCATTTCTGAAGGAGGAAGGCAGAGGGCTGCAGTTAAGATGGCACCAAATGTCAAGGATGCCTAGAAATCAGTTAGCCACAGCGGATTTCTGTGAAAAATTTTCTTAAAGGAGTGGGGCACAGGCCTGATCCCTGCTTTGCTCATGGTAACTGAAATTCTCCAGGGGTATAAACCAGCTGCTCACAATTATATTAGGCAGCCCAAGCACCTGAAAAACAAGTCAAATCAATTTTAGGCTGCATGAATTTAAAGGCATTCTTGGGGTGCCAAATATTGGTCCCTGAAATTGAGCCTCATTGCACCCATTTCACAGGTGTAAATTAGGCATGAAATTCAATTTCTACCTTAAAACTTTAATATCCCTTCAACTGACATGAACAAAATCCAGTTCAGACCCAGTAATCCACTTGACCTTCAGCAGATACTGAGTAATATCCTTCTATTCCTTATCAAAGCAAAACAGGAAGGGATTCAGGCCATGGCTAACAAGGGATATTAGGGATAGCATGAGACCCAAGGAAGGGGCACACAAATTGGTCTCAAAGCAGCAGACCTGAGGACTGGGAGTTCAGATTTCAGCAAAGATGGAAAAGGACTGATTAAGAAGGGAAGATAGAACAAATGAGTAAACTCATGAGGTCATAGAAACTGATTGCAAAAGTTTCTATAGATATCTGAACAGAAAATGAAGCCAAAAGTAGGTGCCTGACATTCAGAAACAGGGGAATTTAATGAGGATCAGAGAGATGTCAACCCAATTAGATATGTACTTTGGTTCTGTTTTCACAAAGGAGGACACATACAACATCCCAAAAGTGTATAGGGTCTAGTGAAAACAGGGTGTATTGAGAGAGGGGAACTGAAGGAAATCAGTGTCCAATAGTGAAATGGCAATGGGGGAATTGATAGGATAAAGGCTAATAAATGCTCAAGGCCTGATAGCTACATCCCATATACTTAAGGAAGGAGCCCTAGAATTAGTGGTTGCATTGGTGGTCATTTTTCAAGATTGTTATAGGCTTTGGAACAGTTACAATGGATCGGAGGGTACCTAATATAGTCGCACTATTTAAAATAGATAAAGAGAAAACAGCGAATTATAGACCAGTTAGCCTGATGTTGTTCGTGGGGAAATTGCTAGACTCCACTATATAAAGATTTAACAGTAGAATACTTGGAAAACAGTAACGGGATCAGACAGAGTCAGCATGGATTTACAAATGGGAAATCATGCATGACAAATCTACTGGAAATTTTCAAGGATGTAACTCGTAGAGTTGATACTGAAGAGCCAAAAGATGTGATTTACTTGGACGTTCAGAAGGCTTTTGATAAGATCATACAAAAAACTAGCATGGGGGTAGTGTACTGACATGGATAAAGAACTGGTTGGCAGGCAGGAAACAAAGAGTAGGAATAAACAGGTACAGAGAGGCAGCAAGTGACTAGTGAGCTATCTCAGGGATCAGTACTTGGAATCCAGATATTCACAATATATATTAATAACTTAGATGAGAGAACTAACTGTTAATATCTTCAAGTTTGAAAATAACACAACACTGGTTTGGAGCGTGAGCTGAGAGGAGGATACAAAGATGCTTCATTTGGCCAAACTGAATGACTGGAAAGATGCATGGCAGATAAAGAATAATGTGGATAAATGTGAAGTAATCCACTTTGATAGCAAAAACAGGGAGGCAAATTATCTGAACAGTGATAGATTGTGAAAGACGTAAGTGAGTTGAGGGTTTCCTTGCACACAGGTTGGGGTGGCACAGTGGCTAGCACTGCAGCCTCACAGTGCCAGGGACCCAGGTTCGATTCCAGCCTCGGGCAACTGTCTGTGTGGAGTTTGCACATTCTCCCAGTGTCTGCGTGGGTTTCCTCTGGGTGCTCCGGTTTCCTCCTACAGTCCAAAGATGTGCACACTAGGTGGATTGGCCATGCTAAATTGCCGGTAGTGTTCAGGGGTGTGTGGGTTATAGGGGGATGGGTCTGGGTAGGATGCTGCAAGGGTCGGTGTGGACTTGTTGGACCAAAGGGCCTGTTTCCACGCCGTAGGGATTCTATAAAATAAACATGCTAGCGCAGCAAGTACGGTGTTGAGCTCTGTAACAAGAGGGCTCGAGTACAGGAGAGTAATGTCTTGTTGCAACTGTACAAGACTTTGATGAGATCACACCTGGAGTTGTGCGTGCAGTTTTGGTCTCCTGATTGCAGGAAAGATGTTCTGGCTATGGAGGGAGTGCAACGTAGGTTTACTAGTCTGTTTCACGAGATGACAGGACTAATATTTGAAGAGATTTTGAATATATACCAGCTATATTACTTGGAGTTTATAACAATGAGGGGCAAGGGTCTGTCAACATCAGAAGTCTACTAAATTGTAACAGGACCATAAATGGTAAATGCAGGAAGGATCCACCGGTGAGGAATTTCTTCACCCAGAGAGGGGTGCGCCTGTCGGATTCTCACGCTGAAACATTGAATGTTTTCAAGGAGACGTTAGATATGGTTCTTAGCCCTAAAGGAATCAAAGGGTATGGGGAGAAAGCAGGAATAGGATTATGGAGGTCAGAGCCACTCGGCAGTAGTCATTGAGGCACATTACATGTGTTTTCTTCGCTTGATGGTGGTGTCCTTGAAGCAGGTGGAAACTTCAGATTGTAGCAAGAAGAGGTTAAAGCTGTCAACAAATACTCCCACCAACTATTCCACACAAGATCAGAGTGCACAGCCAGGGAATCCATCTGGGCCGGTCACTTTCTATGGACTCACTCTTAAGGAGGCCAATCAGGCATCGCAGCGGTGACTGAGGGAACAGGGCAGATGACATCATTTTACTGACCTTCTGTTCAAACCGAGTGTAAAATGCATTGACCACCTCAGTCAGGATGTATTTTTGTCCACTATTCTGTTCTGCTTCATTTTGTAGCCCGTTATGTCACGTAGGCCTTTCCACAGACAGTGAGTGCTCGTGTGGTTAATTTGGGTCTCCAACCATGATCTCATTGAATGGTACAGCAGCCTCAGTGGGCTGAATGGCCTGCTTCCGCACCTATTCCTTACGATCTCATTCCCTCAACGTTAATAACTTTATTCCTGTCATGGATCTGGCGATTTTGACAAGCTACCCAGTCTTGTTGCCACGAACACCATGTTTTATACAATGGTTGAACCATGTGTGAGCACTGAATTACAACTCTGTGTACCTGGCCCTCCCTGACTCCCCGACACACCAACTATGTTTCCCCCTCCCCATTCTCTCCCGCTCCTAGTCCCGCACTTTCTCCCAAACATAGCTACGACTCTACTCCACACCTCCACTCCACTCCACTCCATTCCACTCTTTCCTCCTACAGTCTATTCACGCTCTTCCTCACCCTCCCCCGACACACACACACTCCCCTCCACCCCACACACAAGCACATGCCGCTCCCCCCCCCCTACCTCGGGATAACGCTGCACCAACCGGGCGATCACCTCCCTCTCCACTTGCCATTCGGGTTTCCGCAGCTTCCTCTCCTGCTTTAGCCTGGTCTTCTTCCGTTGATATCTCTTTTTCCATTTCTGATAGTTTTTAATTATTTCGCTCCTTTCGGAGGCGGCCGACATCCCACTTCGTTCTCCAGTCAGCCCCATGCCTGGACGGAGTACAAACATCCTCCGGCGCACAGCAATAACGTCACGGGCAAAGTGCGGGCGCGTCCTGATGACACTGTGTAGAGAGGACACGGAAACTGAGCGAGTAGCTGCAAACTAATGAGGTAACGTGGCTCTGTTAGTGAGACGGTGACAAGTGACTAGACTGACAGTACTGAAAATACTAACCTGTTTAAAGTCGAGAGGTTAAGCGACCAAACACAGCTTTTAGGATTATGGAAGTGTGAATAGGAAAATATTGGTTCAAAATTAGATATATTGTTTAACTAATAAGCAAATAAGTTCCCAAGGTATGTCATAGAATCACAGATTTTTACAGCACGGAAAGAGGCCCTTTGGCTCATTGTGTCTACGCTAATCATCACGTCTGTTCTAATCCCATTTTCTAGCAATGGGTCATAGCTTTGTATACTATGGGATTTCAAGTGTTAATCTAAATACTTACATGTTTTGAGAGTTTGCACTTCTATAATCCCTTTTAGGTCATGAGTTCCAGATATCCACAATCCTCTGGATGAATAACAAACTTTTCAAATCCCCTCTCAACTTGTGGTCTGTACCTTAAGGCTGTGTCTGTGGCTATTGAGCCCTTTACGAAGGGGAAAAGTTTGTCCTTCAGAATTTTGTACTCTGCAATTAGATCCCCTATCCCCCAGCTTTCTCTTCAAGGAAAATAACCAAAGCCTACCTAGTTGAATTTGTCCAGTCCAGGTAATATGCTGGTTGATCTCTGGACCTCTCTAGTATAATCACATCCTTCTTATAGTGTGGCAACCAGAACTACATGCAGTACTCCAGTTGTGGCCTAACTAACATTACATACAGCTTCACTAACCTCCTTGAATTCAGTGCCCTCACAAATAAAAGCAAGTATTCCATAAGCCTTTTTAACCACCTTATCAATCTGTGCTGCTACCTTCAACAGTCTATGGACTTGCACACCAAGGTCCATTGGATCCTCTGTACATCCTCGGGCCCTTCCATTCAACACATATTCCCATGCATCTTCATTGTTAGTCCTCCCAAAATGCATCACCTGACATTTCAGGATTAAATTCCATTTGCCAGTGACCAGCCTGTCTGTCGCGTTCTCGTCCTCATGAATTATCCCACCAATTTTTGTGACACCTGTAAATTTACTGATCACATCCTATTTTCATTTACAGGCGATTAACGTACACAACAACAGCAAGGGACCCAGGACTGAACCTTGTGGTATTCCAATGGACACAGACTTCCAGATGCAAAACACACCATTCAACTAGTAATCTCTGCTTCGTGCCACTGCGCCAGTTTGCAATCCTATGTTCCAAAATTGCTTTTGATCCCATGAGCTCTTAGCTTCTTAACCAGTCTGCTATGCAAGACCTTGTAAAAAGCCTCACTGAAATACATGTAGACTACACCAACTGTCACTACCACCATTTACACATTTAGTCACCTCGTTGAAAAATTCAAATTTATTTGACATCATCTGTCCTTTCCAAAGCCATACTGAGTATTCTTGATTAATCCTTGCCTCTCTGAGTTGAGATTAATTATGTCCCTCAGACTTTTTACCAATAGTTTTCCTATCATTTATGATAGATTCCCTGACCTGCAGTTTTCTGGTTTATCCCTACCACCCTTCTTTAAAAACTTTACCTCTTTAGCTGTCCTTCAGTCCTCTGGCATCCCTCCAATGGCCAGAGATCATTTGAAACTTAATGTTAAGAGCCCCCTAAAATCTCTTCCCTTGCCTTCCAAGCAGTGTGGGATACATCTCAACTGTCCCTGGAGTTTTATCCACTTACTGTCTAATAAATCTCCTCTCTCTCAATGCTAATTTGTTCAAGCATATGCTGTAAGAGTCAGCCAGTCAGGTCCAGAGGAGCTTGGAATGGGAACGACTCATAGCAGGGCATCTGCTGCTGTATCATCACATAAACAATGGCCCAGATTTTCCGATTGCCAGACATCGTTATTCTAGGGTAGGTGTGATTGGGCATCAGGACACTGTGGAATCCCCATTGTAGCAGACTCTGAAGGATCTGCCTGGAAAAGTGGAGATTCCACTGGGCAATTCTCCTATGCTTAGAACCCTCTGAAAGTCTCCATTTAAATCAGAGAATTCAGAGAGTTCTGATGAAACGAAGTAAATAGTTACTCAGGAAAAGTTAAACTATTAGAAACGTAGTCTTACTCCTGAGCAACTAATCAACTAACCCCACACTTCCCTCACACACCGCACACCTTCCCCAAGGCCCATTGGTTCAAGAAGCCTTGGGGTCTGGCCTCAGTTTATATGAAGAAATAAAAGAATCCGTACTAAAACAAAGTAATTAATGAAAAGATTACTAGCTACAATAATGCAAATACTACAGGAGGAAAGATGATTTCCAATGCTGTAAAATTCTGTGTAACCATATTTCTTCACGTATATTGGATAGATAAAAATATGAAGCCTTCATACATGCCATCCATAAGCATTTGAGTGCTATTTCAGGATGAGCTAACAAAATTCAGAACTCTCCCTTTCGTCCTGTTTATACCCATATCAAATTCCCTCTTCCGTCCACCATACACATAACATAAATAGTGTGATTCAAGATGGCAGAAGCGATAGGGTAGGGGGTATTCGGGGTATCGGGCCCATCCGCTCCTTTTCACGTGACCAGCTGCATCTTGTTTAGTTTAAATTTTCTTTATTCTTGAATCAAATTCATCTGTTCTTCATTCTACGGCTGCAGTGGTGGAGAGAGGTTGCGGGTGATGGATCCAATCCATTTCTTGTGGCCGTGACGATCACGGCTTGAGCAGCTGTTCGATGAGTTGTGGTCCGTTCTTTTGCTCTAATGTTCCGGCAGCATCTGCAGCGGTGGCAGAGTGAATAATCTCTTGGTCCGTGGAAGGTGATTTGAACGGTTGGTCTGTTCTTGGGGTTTGACATGGTCCCCAATCCTCGAGAGTTGGGACAGTCTCCTGGCCATGGTGACAGCCGGAGTGTTGGCGGCGATGAGGTGGCTTTGGCAGAGACGAGGTGCTGGGACTGGTCAGCGGCAGCGGGAGCTGCTGCAGTGTGCTCCCACCTTGGTGTTGCGGCCTCAGGGACATCTTTGGCGGCTGCATGCTACGGCAGCGTCCTACAGCCACATAGGAAATCAAGAAGCCATGGATGGAACAAAAATGTGAAATTTTTCCTAACTATGTATGATTTATTTCTTCTTATAATTTATACAATTAAAATGGTGCCAAAGTATAGCGAATTATGCACGTTTTACTGTATTTTTATAAACACGTAACAATAAATTCCTAGACTATATACTATATATACCTTGCAAGAACTGAAATGTCCTTCAACATTGTACAGACACTGGAATAAATCATTAAAGCTGCAGTCTAACTGAGCCAAATTACAGCAACCTATGCACATTTTAATGTATTTTTATAAACACATGTAACAATAAATTACTACACAATATGCTATATATACCTTGAAAGAATAGAAATGTCCTTCAACGTTGTATAGACACCAGAACAATGCAAAATCTAATTGAGGGAATAAGACATGAATGACAATGAAGGGGAGTGAGGAATTGGTAGTACAGTAATGACAAAAATTGAGAAATGGATTAGAGGGATTGGGAAGGCGTCAAAGGTTAAGAGTAGAACCTTGGGATAGGAAAGGAAGGTACATGTCAGCATTATGGTAAAAGCAAAATACTACCATGAAGGAAATTATGAAAGCAGAAAGTGCTGGAAAACTCAACAGGTCTGGCAGGTCTGTGGAGAAAGAAAGAGTTAAGATTTCAAGTCCATATGACTTCAGATTGAAGGGAGATAGAAACATGATGGGTTTAATGTGCAGAAAGGTAGGGTTGAGAAAGGAAGAAAAGATAATGTCTGGAATTGGTCAGAGGTCGGGGAAATTAACAACGATATCATTGGACAAAAGGGTAAGGAACTAATTGTTGTAGTAAAGGAGCAAAGCATTGGAAACAAAAACAAATTGCTGGAAAAATCTCAGCAAGTCCAGCAGCATCTGTGGAGAGAAAACAGAGTTAAAGTTTCAGATCTAGTGACGCTTCAGATCTGATTGTAGCTAGGAAAAGGTTGGTATATAGGCTGAAGGTTGGGTAGGGGTAGGGGCAGGGGCAAGGAGTAAACGGTATATGGAGATGGAGATAAATCACTGCTTCACCTGGAAGGTGTGTCTGGGGACTTGGATAGTGAGGAGGGAAGAAGTAAAAGGACAGGAGTGGTATCATCTGCGACTGCATGGGCATGTGCCGTTGGGATGTTGGGAGTGGAGGAGCAATGCACCAAAGTGTCCTGGAGGCAACTGTCCCTGTGGAAGGCTGAAAAGTGACAGGAGGGACATATGTGTGGTGGTGCCATCCCACTGGCAGCTAATCATCCTTTGGTGGGGATAAGGGAGACCTGATTGTTGTTGTGGGAGGGAAGAGAAAGGGGGAGGACCAAAGTGCGGGAAATGGGTCGGAACCAGCTGGTAGCCCCGTCAACTATGGTGGTGGTGGGGGGAGGAGGAGGGGAGGGTGTCCTCAGTTCAGGAAACAGGTGGACATTTCAGAGAACTTCTTGTTGAAGTTGGCTTCACTGGAGCAGATGCGATGGAGACAGAGAAAAGGGAGAATAGAGTCTTTACAGGAAGCAGGATGTGAAGATTTATAGTCCAGGTAACTGGGATTCGGTGTGTTTGTAGTGGATTTTGGTGGCCAGCCTATCCCCAGAAATAGAAACAGAGGTGTCGAGGAAAGGGAAGGGTGAGGTCAGAGATGGACCAGATGAAGATGAGGGCAGGGTAGAAATTAGAAGCAAAGTAAATGAACTTTTCTAATTCTGAACAGGAGAGGGAAGCAATGATGTCATTGATGTACCTGAGTTGCGGGTGGGGGCCAGAACAGGACTAAAACAAGGAATGTTCCACATACCCCAAAAAGAGATAGGTATAACTGACGCCCATGTAGGTTCCCATTGCTACCCCTTTTGACCTAAATTAAGTGAGAGAAGTTGTTCAAAGTAGTGACAAGCTCAGCCAGGTGGAGGAGGTTGGTGGTGGATGGGGATGGCTCAGGTCTTTTTTCTAGGAAGAAGCGGAGAATCCAGACACCATCCTGATGGACGATTGCACGCCCATGGTAAAGAGGAGGTGGCTGGATCTTGCAAATGGGAAGTTCTGAAATTGACATAAAGCTCCAGAAGAATCTCAGATGTACGTTGGAAGGGACTGGATAAGGGGAGAAAAAAATTGAGTCGATGTGGAAAGAGATGGGTTCTGTGAGGCAGCAGCTGGCAGAAACAATGGGTCTGCCCAGGCAGTCCTGCTTGTGGATTTTGGGAATGTGGTAGAAGCAGACTGAGTGGCATTGGGGGACTGTGAGCTTGGAGGCAGTTGTGGGGAGATCATCACATTAACTGAGATTAGTGACTGTTGTGGACACAATGGCTTGGTGTTCCATGGTGGGATCACAGTCTGGGAGGGGAAAGGAGGAGGTATCTGAGAGCTGGCGCTCAGTCTCTGCAATGCAGAGATCAGTCTGCCAGCCAACAACAGCACCACCCTTGTCAGGAAGCTTGGTTACAATGTCAGCATTGGATCTGAGAGCATGGAGTGAAGTCAGTTCAGACGGAAGTGGGTCAGAATGGGTAAGGGGGTGATAGAGAAATTGAGGCAACCAATGTCAACAGTTCTGATGATCAGGCCAACTGCAGGTAAAAGGCCAGAGGGAGGTGTCCAGATGGAGACAGAATGTTAGAGATAGGTGAAGGCATCTGTGGGAAGGGGAGAGGACATTTGTCCAAAGGAATAGGCACAGAGTGAAGGTGATGGAAGAAGAGTCCAGCATCATGTTGTGCCTGAAATTTATTGAGGTGGGGGCACAGGGGAATAAAACTAAGATCTTTGCTGAATACAGAACATTCAGCATTGGAAAGTGGAAGGTCAGAAGGGATAGTAAATACGCGACAGGAGGTGGGATTGGTAGAGGGAATGGGAGATGAGAGGGTTCCAGAGGGCCATGGGTATCTTGAGTTCCAAGCCATTGGCCCAGCGTACACATGGATGGCAGAATAATAAATAGTTCTGTCTTAAAGCAAAAATTATGAAAGATACAAATGACACTTGGTAAAAAAGAATCAAAATTCATGGTATGAAGTTGTGAACTCCTTGTTGAGTCCAGAAGTCTGTAAAACATCTCATTGGAAGCTGAGGTGCAATTGCTCAAGCTTGTGCTAAGCTTAGTTGGGAGAAGGTTTACGAGATTAATACCTGGATTGGACTTGTATCTGTTGGAGTTTGGAACAGTAAGAGATGACTTGATTGAAATTTACAAAATCCTGAGGGGATTTGACAGTGTACATGTGGTAGTATTCTTTCTCTACTGTGAGAATCCAGAACTGAGGTGACCTATGGTAATACCACCCCCCAGCCTGAACTAACTAACCTGACCACTCATTTATCCCTGACCATGTGACAAACACCCCAGTCCAATCCATACCACCCAACCAACTGAGCACCATCCTACCCAACTATCCACCTCAACCCAATTGTCACCCAACTACCTCCTCACCAACCCAACAACTACTTGACCATCCCCTCAGCCCAATCTCACTATTCACAACCAACTGAACATTTGGGGCATAATTAGCTTATTTAAAAGTCATCATTACAAATTATGATTACAATACAAATAAAACAAGAAATCATACTTCATGATGTAAGGACAATTATTAAAATTATACCTTACATTAAAGAAAAAAAGGATTGGATTGCATAATTACAATCATTTTTTGCATATGACTAAAGGTGATGCATGGCAAAGTGCAAGTCTTCCTGGATTACAGAGTAAAAAATGAAAGGTTGCCAATTAAAAGAAAGAAATAATTGCTCCCTAAAAATGGAGCATCATAAATACACTGTTACAAGAAATGAAAGCTTTAATAGGAAACTTAACTAAGCAAATTAAGGTGACAGTACCGGTGAGGTAATGTCCCAACTAGTCAAGGCAGGTCTTTCATGTCCCAGACAACACTGCGTGCGCCCTCTTCAGCAATTCCCAACACCCAACAAAATACACAGAAAATAGGAGAAAGAGCAGACCATTCAGCCCATAGAGCCTATTCCACCATTCTATATGATCATGGCTGAAACTCTCTGTCAACACCATAATTCTGCTCTCTCCCCCTCCTTGAAAAGATTAATGTGTGCTCCTCTCCATATACTTCTGCAGTTTTTATTTACAGCCAGTTCTGGTATAATGTGCCATGTGACAGTTGTGTTCCTGCGTAACAATGCATTATAGAAAGTTGCGCTATTGAAATAACGGGGTCTATGGGAAAAGCGGGATTAACAGCAGACCACGAAAAAAACACTCAAAATTGCTCAAAAATCACTCAAAAGTCTAACACAAAGGTTAGCACAGTTTCAATAAATGTTTAATTCATATCTAATAATGAAATAAAAGTAAACTTAACACATTACCTTGAAAAAATATCAAGATGACTTGGTGGGGGAGGAGGTTTTGAGGTTGCCCTGTTGTTAATGCAGGGGCTGAGGGTTGTCATCATCATCATCCCCTTCAGGTGCAGTTGTGGTTGCAGGGTTAGGGTGAAAAATAATTAATCCAGAAGTGGATAGCTGTGGTTCATTGACTTCTGACTGTTTCTTGGGGGTTGACTTAAAGTTTTTGCTGCTTTGTCTTTTTTCTTCTTTCATGAAGAAGCTATTCATAGGGTGCCAAATAAGATCTTATTCCACAAATGCTACCTTGCTGTGTTCTGCATTGTAATCATTGTCCTCTAAGAGCTGCAACTGCTTCTCAATTTCCCTCAGGATAGAAGACAAAACAGAAGTGGAAAGCTCTCATGGTGCTGCATCCTCGACTTCATCTTCTTCATCTCCAGTTTCCACTTCCCCCTCAGCAGCAAGTTGTTGTGGACGAGCCGTAGAGAGGTCTTTACAGAGGGACTCAAGTAGCTCTTCAACATCCTCACTCTCCACTTCTTCAAATCTAACTTGCTTTGCAAGACCAACATAATGTTCTTTGATTCTTGGGAGCTCCTCTGATGGATCAAAGGTTTTAAAATCTTAAGAAAATCTGGGAGAAGATTCCACCAAAATGCATGCAAGCAGGCCCAGGCCTCCACGACAATGTCACTTGCATTCTCGATGTTAAAGCTCTTCCAAACGTATTACAGCCTTTCTTTTACATTCACCACCTGAAATTTTATCACCAAGATGCTTCTAGCT